TGGGCCAACTGCCCTTCTCAGGCAAATGGAGGAAAAAAAGCAAGCCGCACTAAACTCATTTATTACCTTGTGTTAAAATCAAATGCCAGTTCTGATTAGCCTCGGAGAAGGCGGTAAATAATAATTGTTTTCTAATTTTGAACTTGCCAGATTGTATGACCAAAAAATACTGGTCAGGCATTATTTTTTTAATTGCATTTGTTGGCTAAATGCTATTTTCTCCACTTCTTTTTCTGTAAATACCATTTGGTCATTGATCAGTTTGTTTTATTTTGTAACATGCCAGTGTAAACTGCGTATTGTTTGTTTAAAAAAAGTATTACATTTATTCAAAGATTAAAAATGTAGTCTTTTGGAGTTATGAGTTGGGTTATTCTCACGGAACCCTGGAGACGTCCTTGAGTGTTTAGATTCCCAGCTCTGCGTAGACATCAGCGTCCAATGGCTAATAGTACCAGTTCTGTGTTTGGTGTGTGCCTTTCGTGCTTGGCTGTGCCAGTGCATACGCAACGTTCTTGCATTCGTAACAGCAGTGTTGACATACTGCTTCCAAAATCTTCCGCACATCCTCTCTCTCTAATGGCATTAACTCTTTCAAGACCGAGGGAGCTTAGCATCAGAGGCCCAAGGGTGGTAAAGAGAAACATAAAATCGGCACTTCTTGTGTTCATTGGGCTTCTAGGTAGGGAATGAATGAGATGTTTCTTGGGACTGAAAGAGTTAATATCGACATGATCCTTAGGTCAGCCATCTGCAACTGTGACATTGCTAGCCAGCCTGTCGACTCTTTTATTCCCAACAACACCTACATACCTGAGAAACTTCACACATTGTGGATGCAAAACTTGACTTCTTCTTCCTTCACCGGCTGTAGCTCTAGAGGGACAGTCCTGGTTTTTTTGTCCATTTGGACTTTGGCTTTGTGCCCGGGTCTGTTGCATGTACGTCTGTTTTACTGGCTTATTTGTGTGCAGTTGGTTGTTCCTTGTCTCTCGGGCAGAAATACTCCGACTTCAAAGGACGTCCCCTCAATTAGTCGACTCTTATGACATGCTTGTTGGGGGAGGCAGTGAGTCTATTCTCATTTTCCCCACAGTAGGGCCCGAAACCCCCACAGGGAAGAACTTGACTGACTGGACAGACCTTAGGCATGCAACCATAAAGTCCTTGGCATCTGATTGTGAAAAGTTGAGGGAGCTGACCCAAGTCTAAAACCATGGGTAACCCCACGGCATGCAGTGTCACAGAATGATGATACTTAATGAACCAGCTGCTTTGCATTGATTTCAACAATGGTATGAGCATCTACCGATCAGGTTGTTGAATTAAGAATCGACATGATAGCAGTCGGGGCACTACCATAAGCGCTCCGTCCCCATTTTCAACAGCAAGCGAAAAGTTTCAGTTCCTATGGTACCTGTAACTGTCTGATTGTACACCCGTCTCACCTTTTCCTTGAGTGTTGGGCATTGGCCAGATCCTCTCAACTGATCCAAGGGCACAGCCAAACCAGTGAACATATTCCATATTAAAACTACAGACAACAAATGCTAGACTTCATTTGCAGTCTTCTGAAGGGATGGGCAGCTAACTTTTAAACATAGACGTCTGCTCTATTCATCACATAGCAGGTTCTGTACAGAACATTGCTCCCATCACAGTTCACCTGAAAGAAACTTGGTCTCTCGCCAGCTCTCCCACCTTAGGCACTTTCATATCCAGGGAGTCACTTATATCCTGTGATATTGCTTCATGTACTCACCACTTTTGCGGTGTAGGCAGGTGGGTCTTTTAGCCCGTAAATTGAGGGGTACATGGTTAACGCAGTCACCACAGACAGGGCAATTAGGATTGTACTTTTGCCCCTGACAGAAAAAAATCCACACATTTACTGAGGATTCGAACATGAGCCTCAAGCATAAGAGCTAGCTTTCTTAACCATTTGATCAGCGCGGCTCAAAAAAAAAAACATAAGAAAGACATTAACAAATGTAAATGTAAACCCAAAACAAAACTGCACATGGAATGCTATTGTGCAATTTTCGTATTCGTACTCTGAAGCTTTTTGAAAATGTTAGTTGCATATGCTTTACAGGACATTGCAGAACCAACCCCAGAATTTTTTAGCTGTTTGGTCTTACAGAGCAGTTTTATGTTAAGTAGTTTGCCATTGCTTTCTGAATGGTTGATGCTACATCTATCTGTATCCTCTTCATGTCGCTGTTGACACATAAGGCATTTACAAGTGATCTCCATTGCTGCCGGTCTGCTGCTTTTCTGCCCATGGTATCCCATGTCAGTTTACATTTCTTCATTTCCCGTTCTATTGTCCTTCTCCAGGTTTCCTTAGATCCTCCACGTCTCCTATCTTTCCACCGGAAAGCTGTTTTTGCCAGAGAGTCACAAGGCATTCTGCAAACATGTGCAAGCCATAGTCTTACTTTGATAACATTTGACAGTGATGCACATTCTGTTTTCCTCCTCAGTTCTTCTTTTGTGATCTTGTTTGGCCAAAATATTCGAAGAATTTTTCTAAAACATTTATTTTTAAAAGTCACAAGTTTACGTGCAATTCCCGCTGTCATATTCCAACATTTACTGTTGTATAATAGTATTCCTAAAATGTTGCTCTTGTATATTCTGAGTTTTGTCTTCAAACTAAAATACACCAGCCTTGCCAATAGCATGTCTCCTGAATACACCTGCATCCAGAACTCTTCTTGGCTTCCTTCTGTTATAAATTGCTGTCTTTGCTGATCTTATGCAGATTTTGAAAATTTATTATTGCAGCGGAACCTCTAGCATACGCTCCCAGCACCCCTAGCATACGCTCCCGGCGCCCCTAGCATAAGCTTCCAGCACCCCTAGCATACGCTCCCGGTACCCCTAGCATACGCTCCCGGCACCTCTAGTTGCCGCAGCACCCAGTTTGAGAACTGCTGGTCTAGACTACCTAAATACTCCTCCTTTTCCCCTTCTTGCCCTCACCGGCTGTTAACTCTGGTTGAAATTTCTGGCTGTTCCTCCACTTCTGAACTGTAGTCGTATTCCAAAACTTAAGTGTCACATAGCAAACAGATCTGGCTTATTTGTATGCAGACTGTTGGTTCCTCGCCTCTCAGGTATAGGCACTCCGACTTCAAAGAAAACCCCAAATCAGTCAACTCTTATGACATGCTTGTAGGGAAGCAGTGGGTCTATTCTTGTTTTCCCCATAATGGGACCCTGGAACCCACACGGGGAACTCTACATCAGATTTACGAGTTGAAACCCAGTCTCAGAATTCACAGAACACAGCAAAGCACCATACAGTGTTGAGCACAACAAACAAATAATTCAGATCTGTTTAATGGATGTGCACGCAACACTCAGGTTCTGGAACAAGACTAAAGTCCAGAGGTTGACAAACAACCAGAACTTTCTGCCAGAGTTTACAGCCGGTGAAGGCAAAGAAGAAAAAAGTTTAATGTGAGCTTTCTGAGGAAAAGTCCGTCACATGTTGAATACAATGAGTCACTCTTCAACGAATTTCCTGTGCCCCTTGTTTGTGTTTTGGCTCAGTGTCTAGTCCAGTGATTTGCTGGGTTTAAACTTTTCCAATGCGTCTAGAGTCAACTGGTGCAAAGAGTATGTTCAATGAGCTGCGGGCCTGCGCCTCACGTTGTTTTCAAGAAGTGGTATCAAGAAAGCTGACCGTCCAGAAAGCAATAGCAAACTAATGGACGTAAATTTGCTTAGAAAAACCACACAACATCCAGGGGCTGTTCGGGTTGGTTCTGTAACGCCCTGTAAAGGATACGCAACTAACCTATATTCTCGGAGGATGAGAGAATAGATCGGGAAATAGAAACAAGATGCCAACGAGCCTGTGCACTTATATACCAACAGACACTGTTATTAAGACCACACACATAAATAAGAGCATTATGAAACATTGTAAACAGCACATTCATACCAACACTGTGCTACCAGTGCCAGATATGGACATTATCAAAAGCTAACATTAACACCTATGAAATGAATGGGATGCCTGACTACAATGGCTATGAAAGGAAGCAGGACTGGAGAATGAGTTGAGTCCAGAATTGACATCACAGCACTCGGGGCATTTTCATGCATGCTCCGTCCTCATCTTCAGCAGCCAGGACAAAGTTGGACAGGAGAACTGGCTAGAGAAAGAGAGACTTTCAGGTGCACTACTAATTAACTAACTAAACTAACTAACTAACATATAATCATTCAGTAACTGGTGGCCTGCGTCAAATAGATGTATTAAATGGTATGATAGAATCACTAATGCCAGACTTTTGGGATGCTTTAGGAAAGGAACAAGTTCTAGTGGACCAAGTGGGTGAGACAAAAGACGCTGTGTTGATGGTACACATGCTGATGCTAACATAAGACAAATAATCGATTGCTTTGGCACTGGAAACCCACTGGGGCATAGAAATAAAGGAAGACCAAAAAACAAATGGAGAAGAGAACTAGAAAGTGAAGTTAAAAAGCTGGGGAGGACATGGAGAGAGTTGCAAGCAAGCAACAGCGAAGGATAGAACGACCTGGCGTGAGTTGATTGAAGGCCTATGCTTCACTGGGGATAGAAGGTAGAAGAAGAACGACACAAATATCACAGCTATGCTGTAAACTGGCACAATACATTAATGTCACTTTGACGAACAATGAAGAAGAAAAAGGATAATTATAATGACCCTAAACAATTCAACGGTTTAGGTCCAAATTCCAGCTAAGAAAATCCACATACATTTTTGTTGTTAAAAAAAGGATACCAAAGGTTTCCCTACGACGGAAAGGATACCAAAGGTTTCCCTACGATGGAAAGGATACCAAAGGTTTCCCTACGATGGAAAGGATACCAAAGGTTTCCCTACGATGGAAAGGATACCAAAGGTTTTCCTGCGATGGAAAAGTGAAATGGAACTGTTCATCTCAACCCAAACTTAAAGTTAATGCACAAAAAAAGTCATTGGAGTAATACTTACCCAGATACAGCCAGTGCTGTGCTGTTTGTTCTAAAGCGTAAACACAATGGACATAAAGTATGGTTGACGTTCTTCAGGTGCTCCTTCTAGAAGATGAAAAGAACAAAAAGTATGAAGTAAATAGTAAAGACAATTTTCATACTTTATCTCAGAACTATACATATCGACATCCTAAAAGATCTGAACATCAAGGCAGAGGAACCAACTGCTCCTCCCCTCCCCCACAAGCATGTTGTAAATGGCAACTGAGGGATATTTCCTTCGATGTCGAAGTAAAT